ATACAATTTATTAAGTGCAAGTATTGTGTTCATGGTAACAGGTTAATAGTACCTTTACTCTTTCAGATTCCCCTGGGTCCCCTTATCGCCGTTCTTGTTATCCGGCGCCCTGGGAGACTTCAAAAGCAGTGGCTTGAGCTCCTCCATGGAAGTCACCCTGTGTCGCCTGCCGTCACCAGTCTTCACATATATGATGCCGTCCAGTGTCCAGGACGACCGCATTCCGAAATGCTGGCGTGCTCTTCCAAAAACAGCCTGCCGAGCCCTGGTCAGGAATTCTTTAACTGCAAATCCAGAGCCCTTTAGCCCTGTCTTTGCTTTCCAAACCGATGCCTTGAGATCCAGACTAGCAAACCGAACAAGAATAGGCCTGTGATGGTCTTTCCGGGCAACTCCCAGTCTGTGACATGCAGTCAATGAAGTACCCGAGATATCCAGGCCCATCTTTGTCTTCATTATGTTACAGATAAGTCTTCTGCAGTCTTCCTTCTCCGATTCAACAAGGCCCTGGAATATGAGTGCCTTACGCCGATGCCTTGTCTCCGTCTCATCATTTCCTTGGGAACACTCACTTATTTGACTTCGTAGCATACCAAGTATCTTGAATATAAGTTCTCGGAAAGTATGAAACTCTTGAGCCACCTTGGCAAGTGTGATTTTGGCTTGCCCTGCTGAGTTTATCTGGGCCTCCACTTCATTCATCCTCTGAGTGACAGCATCCCGGACTGTCTCGTGGATATCAACCAGGTCACGGCTCTCTGACATCTTAGTGTATGTTGTGCTAGGAGTTGATGTGCTGGCAGGTAGTGCTCAAAGTATATTTAAATTACATAAAACTATTGCCCACGTAAGTACCTGTGTTATTAACTAGTTTAAACAGTTACTAGTGAAAACAAACATTAAATTAATTTGCCTACGGTTCGTATAATTGCTCTGTAGCTTCTACTCACTCCTATGGGCCCATAAATTTCCACGAGGAAGGATACATACATAATCAAATAGTTTGTTAAGTTAGTTACATTTTATCTAATAGTAATACCCACATTCTGAACAAGACCAAAAGCCCCAAAATGGTAGATGAATATTTTGAGATCCAATTCCATCGAATTTTGCAACTGGGAATTTACAGTGAACAAATTTATTTTAAGGGCTTACACGTGTTAAAGCTCCAGTTAGTTTAGGAATTCAGTCCAAAAGTGTGCCTTATAGAATCGTTCATTCGAGTAGTCGGTAGAACGAAAAGTTATTTTACAAAAATGGTTGGATTACCTTTGCTTTAGTTTTGGCCGGTGGTTGTACGTTTCTGATTTGATTGTGTGAAGTTTGGTAAGTTTTATCAGTTTAAACATTACGAGATACCAGCCAAACACAAATTCTGGAGTTGTAGAATCTGCACTTATTAGAGACACAAAATTTATAAACAAATTTCTTCATTTTTACACAATAGAAATTATATTAAAGATATAGAAAATGAAACAATGACATATGATCACACCAAAATCCTTTGATTTGGAACCAATTAAAACTGCACTTTCTTGTAAATTAACAAATGTTTTAGCATTTACTTTCCATTTCAAACCAACTTCGATTCGACCCATATGTATGTAATATTTTCAAAACTGCCCAGATTTCGTTTATGTTATTTATGGAATAGAAAACAAACAAACTGACAGATCACCTGATGGTAAGCGATCAGCGCCTGTCGTGAACACCCGGAACACTAGAGGGGTGAAAGCTGTGTTGCGGGCTTTTTTTTAAAAAAATAGGCTCTTTTCTTGTAGGTTTAAAGGTCTTCCAAAAGTTATGTAAAAGTGAAAACATATATTCAATTCACTTATATAACAAAGGCTTGTACAAACTAGTTTTCTTCGAGATATTTCAGTTCCTGCCTATTCAAACCGAAAGTCTAAATCTACGTCTACAAGAAAAACACAATGAGCCTTAAGTATTCTGGATTTTCTACGAATATTTTTAGAGTGTTCTCCACAAAGTACTTCAGCTTTGAGAAAAATAAAAATCTTGTTATTCACGTTGTAGTTTATCTACTTGTTTTCCCATCTGGTTATACTTGTGTGTAGGCATTGTAGGGCTTACTTAAAATTGATTTTGATGAATTAAAATTAAATGTAAACTATTTTCTAACTAATTATCTCGAATAAATAATATCTTCTGACTCATCATATTTCATCTATTGCTATCACCATCATCGTCAGTCCATTTTTATCTTCTGTTGGACATTGGTCTCTCTAATGCCTTGTTCGCACTACGCTAGTAATTTGGGCGAGTAGCGAGTATTTAGGACTTCTTTCTCGCTTTAGTTTTGAGACAGAAACAAACAAGGTATAATAGCGTGTTACTTAGCTCAAATAAGAAGAGATACAAATGTTTCAACATAGTCAGCTATATTTCACATGTTAGGTACCTATTACCGTTAAAGTTTAACGTTCCCCAAATTAGTGTGGGTTAATGCCTAGAGAATTTTCGGCCTTTGCCCCGTGAGATAGACCCGTGAAACAAGCAATTAGATGTTTATGTACTTTTAGCTACATAAATATTTAATTCGATTGCTTTAAAAGTTAAGTACATTACGGATAAAATATATGTTATTATATCTTTTCCTTTACAGTTAAGTATCGCTATATTTACTAAAAGTACCTTGGAGTATACTAAACACTTTAGCGATTTCAACACGACAAAAACAAGAATTATTACAACTATGTTACATTATAATTTAACATTTTAAACATTCAATTCTTAGAAACAGAATGAAGGCAAATAAAAAATCGCCTCATAAATTACAAATCAAATAAAACTTTAAAGAAAATTGTTCAGAATAAAAATGTATGTTTATTTCTAACTCGACAAATGCATACAAGTGTTGTTACAAAATACTCTGTCAACGAACTAATAATATTTCCGTTTTGGACGTGGCAAATTGTCTAGTTGATGGATATGCTATTTTTAATAGGCAAAGAAATGTGTATGTCTTCAGATCCCTTCGGCAAATGCGGAGCTTGTCACTCATTGATGACAATTTTCGTAGAGAATCTTATTACTTTTGGCATAGGTTTCGCATAGTCGTGTGGTTATTTAAAAAAATGCGATAAAATACATATTGTGGTTTCAAAATAACGATGTAAGTCCCAATTTTTGTGAATAATTCTAAAGATTTGTGAAATGTCTGTACGCTTTTATGTTTCGCAGAATGTGACATAAAATAATTTTCGACCGTAAGTTGCAAATAAATAAATTGCATTTTTGTAAATAGGTTTATTAGATCAAATCTATGTCAGAATAGAATAATGGCTTGATGTGAAAATAATGTCATAGCGGAATGTCTTTGACCAGAAAAAATGCTATAATAATATATTACAGTAAAGTGAAAAAATTATAGCTGTTTCAGTTCGTAAAGTTGTTCGATGTAATTTATAATTTTACAGTCTGTACTAAATAGTATTGAATCGTCACTTAGATTCAATACTATTTAATACAGACTAGCTTATATTTTCAATCAATAAAAAAAGAAGGTGGCTAAAAGAAAATGTTTTATGATGTTCAATTAGGTATTTAAGAACGAAAAACGTGTCCGCAGCTGTAATCCTAGATTTGAATTTCGCCCCTTTAAATCCGGAAATCCGCTCCGAAGGAACATTAGGCCTAAAATGGACAAAAAGCAGCGAGAAATGTTTTATGGTTTTTTCGTTTCCAACGAGGAAGTTAAGCCATGTCCGCCCACAGCTTATGGGTTTTAGTAAAATACTTTTAAAAGGTGTCATAAAAATAACCTAATTTTATTGTCTATTTTAATTTATACATTATACATAAATATACAAAAGAGACTGCTGAATCTTCGGTATACATACACATATATATATACTAATATTTCGATATTAATTTTAGATAGTGGCCAAACGTTGAGTCGGCCTGTCAAATATAAAACAAATATATAAGTTTATTGCCAACAGCATTGGTCACAATTATATCAAACACGAAAACTTCGTCTCGATCTTCAAATTAGGTAAGTAAACTTTTATTTCGACTGACATAAATTGAAATTCATGTACCTAATGACAGTAGTGTCACAAAAAAAATTACTTCATTTTATAAGATCACTAGCTATGCCCGCGACTTCGTCAGTGTGAAATAGTGATTCACAGCTCCTCCCTCGTAGATGATAGCGTGATAATATGTAGCCTATATGTTGACCCGACGTGTTAGTAATATTCATGCAAAATTTGAAATAAATTCATATAGTACTTTTTGGGTTTAACCTGGACATACATACAGACAAATAGACAAACGGACAAAAATGATAAAAACCGTATTTTTAGCTTCGATGTCGATCGTAAATGACGCCTCAATCATTCTTTTATAAAATATGCAATGTACGGTTTTCACTTTCCTATTATACGTATATGGAAGATATAGATAATTTAATTTTATTCCGTGTGTAGCTAAAATTGTTTATTTATATGATTCCGCTGGAAAATCATATTCATCATTTAAATGGCTTACTGATTGATTGATGCCTAACTTATGAACGATTTAATTTATCAACGTGAGACATGATAAATTGGTTTAGGAGGTAGACGCTGAAATGAGTGAGATATTGATGATTAGCGGGTTTTGTGTGAACCTTCTAGTCTAGTCTTAGAATATATAGGATATATAGGAGTATCTTATATATTAGGTGTGTAATTGTTCTACATACATGACTTCTCGCCTGTCTCACATGGGAGTAGGCAGAGACTATGGAACATCAATTACTATGATTCCTACATACCTCTTTCGCTACTGAAATAACGTAAGTTAATTAAGTGCTGTAATTACGAGGTATAAAAACTAATTGTTCTACTTATAACTTGTCAGATGATGATGATGATGATGATGATGATGATGATGATGATGACGATAGTCATTGCCTACCCCCATTTGGAACAGGCGTGAGGTTATGTATGTATGTATGAATAACTAAGTACTAATTAAATTTGTCAACTTACGTTATTGCTGTCTACGGCTTTCCACCATGGCGATGCAATCAAATTCACTTTCACTTCGACAAAATGTCTTCAAAATAACCTGAAATTAATAATAGAAAATGGTTAAAAAAATATTGTCGTACAATTTCTCACTATTTTAACAAATTAAACCGTATGGGAGACGATACATAATAATTTTAAAATGTCGCATAACTTATAACTTTTTTAAATTTATAATATATATACATATTACATAAATAGTTGTAAACAGACAAATTATTAGGTTAATTTATCATCGCTTGGTAAGAAGGAACATGAGCACTGAAGAAGCACTCATAAAAATGCTGTAAAAGTCACAAAAATATATATATGTGGAAATACCTAATACACAAGTGCCCTGCTCCTAGCTACTAAACAAAATTGATGTTTTTGTTTCCTAATCTTTTGTCAATATCACAAAGTATAATCACTTTGTTACAATAGGTATCTTATAATATTTCAATGTCTTAGCTCAAAGTTTTCGAGACACAATCTCAAAACAACATCTTTGTTTCATAATTTTTACGTAACAAAACAAGGTGATGTAAACAAACAAATAAAACAACACTTTAATAAAATATAAATTAAATTATTGTATACGGAATCGTTTTCATAGTATTCGAAAGGATTTTTCTAGGAAATCGTAGCTATTAATTTTTGACGGAACGCCTGGCTCCGTGCCCGTGACTTTTACAACATTTTTATGAGTGCTTCTTCAGTGCTCATGTTCCCTCTTACCAAGCGATGATAAATTAACCTAATAATTTGTCTGTTTACAACTATTTATGTAATACGTTCTGCGTAATTAAATTTTGGCAGACTTATACAACTGTTTGTCAAATTATGTGGCTTAATTTGCTGTAAGATAAAGTGTATTGTATTGAAAATTGTTGTGACATTATGGTACTGCTGTGACATGTTTAGTAGACACTTTCATTATATATTAAAAAAAACGCAGAATATAATGCAGTACGAAATGTCACGGAAACTAAACAATATATAAAAATAAAGTTAATCATTATGCAGAATTATTTTATTACATTAGTCGATTACATAAATAAAGACTATTACTTTTAGAAATACGAAAAATAATATGTGAACAGAGACAGAGAAAAATAAATAATTAAAATAAAAAGAAAAGGAAAGAAAACAAATAAAAACAGAAAAAATTCCAATTACGGCGTCGAATAAATACATACCGTTAAATTACACTACGTTTCATAAAACGAAGATTTTTACTGTTAACTTTAAGATTCTCGATTTTTATTCAAGTGGTTAATAAAATAAAAATACTCAAGCTTTTAAGTTTTTAAAATCAGCTGAACACCTACTAAATAATTACGAGAGAATACTTGTTTTAAACCAAATAATCCTCTTAGAATTTACTACCAAAGCAAGTAAATTATAATTAAAAACTTTTTAATCCTCACTATAAGTGGAAAGCAAAAACAAGTCTTAGAAATACTTTTTTAACAAATTTAAATTGTCTTATCTGTAATTAAATTGGTACTAATAGGTTTTATTTTAAACTTATTTATTTTTTTTAGAATTCAATGGAGCGTGAATGCTTTTTTTGTTCTAAAATGAAAGAGTCGTCCCACGCTAGGGTTTTATTATTTGTCGTGTCTGAGTTAGAAATTTACATACCACATGAATTACTACGCAATTGGAGTTATTTTGTAGATATATCTAATCATTTGACCACACGATTGGTGCGGTGGCTCTACATCCGGCTGCCGGGCAATGTATAGTGAGTTCGATTTCCGCACGAAGCAACTGTTTGTATAATCCGCAAATTGTTATTTCGGGTTTGGGTGTCATCTATGTATGTATTATACCTTTTTGTAAACGCACCCACGGCAGAAAATGCCAGTGTGGGGCAATGCTAAAAAACCTTTTATTGTAGTAAAGATAATATTAATCATACAGAAATGGCATCAATAAAATGTTCATAGTATCTCCCTTTATACACAGGTGGAGTTAATGAAAATAATTAGTTAAACAATAAAATTCAATACAACACTATCCATATATCACACAAGTAATCTAAGCTAATAAATTTCCTTTAAAAGTAATAAATCTATAAGTGATCCCCAAAAGGTTAGTCGGAGTAGTGGTTGTATACGCCTACTACCTACCAATTAGTATATTAGGTTTCATTGTAGTAGCTATCTAACTTTGCAATTAACTTGGGTTCGATCTCTATTATGGTGATCGTACTACGTTACTTGACTAGAAGATTAAACAATCAAGTGAATTGTAACTTCTCTTAGACGTAGCCGAGTAATTGTAGGATCGGAAATGCAGTTTAAATTACCATGTACCAATTAGCTACATTATGCTTTATTATTACGTTAGATGTCGTGGTGGCCCAGAGGTTTAAGACGCCCGCTTCTCATGCAAGACGGTGCGGGTTCGAAACCTACCAACGGCAAGTACCAATGTGACTTTTTCCGAGTTATATGTACTTTCTAAGATTATTCAGACACCACTGACAAACGGTGAAGGAAAACATCGTGAGGAAACCTGGGCTTATAATTTCTAATTATAAGTTTGTAATCGCCAACCTGCATTGAGCAAGCGTGGTGATTAATGCTCAAACCTTCTCCGTGTGAGGAGAGGCTTTGTTCAGCAGTGGGCATTTATAGGCTATTAACTCGTCGAGTACCGTCATTATAGACACAATTATAGAACAATAGGTTGCGGTCACCGGTGACAGCTTAGTGTTTGACAGTTTAATGATGAATTAACCTACATTGCCTGATCTAATTATTCAGAGTAATTCCAAGTTTTGTAATCGTCTATTAGTATATATGATCCTATTAAATACATTATTAGCAAGTAGCATTGAGATAGAAGTTAAGGTTTCTACTAATTTTATTTTTTACTAGCTGACCCGGCAAACTTTGTACAACCTGAATTTGTTTTCTCACTTTTGAAATCTACCCTAGACTTCCACGAACATTTCAAGAAAAATTAGCCAAATTGGTTCAGGCGTTCTAGAGTTTCAGCGAGACTAACGAACAAAAATCCATTTTTATTTATATAGATAATAACTGTAACAGTTGCTGACAAGCAAACATACCGATTGTCCTTATTTCGTTCTTGAAAACTTTATCCAAAATTAAAACACTTATTACAAGTATTTTAAATAGATACAGCCAAATTCATAACATACAAAATAAAAGAATCGATGATACTGTTGACAATAAAGTTTGTATTCATAACTTTTACGTACTAATTCTCATTTACCAAATCTAATAAATATTTTACATAACATCTCTTCTTATTTTCTATCTTTTAACAGCACGCCTTTTATCCCCGAAGGGGTAGGCAGACGTGTACATTACGGCACTTATTGCCATGTGTACAATGTAAAATCCACTTTTCACTATTTATGTTATGAGTCACATGTAATAGGTAAGCCTATTGCCATATACCGGGCAAATTTCCAGACTCCGTGCTACTACTGAGATGTTTTAAAAACCCAGTAATACTTTTTCCGACCCGGGAATCGAACCCAAGACCCCTTGCCAAGTCAAGTCAAGTCAAGTCAAAATCATTTATTTCAATTAGACCATTAAGGCACTTTTGAACGTCAAAACAAAATATTTAAATATTAAATAATAAGAAAAAAAAATGTCAGTCTGTAGGTCAGTCCTCTAGTGAAGCTATTTGCTCGTTCCAAAGTGTAGATTCCTATGGAGAAGAACGAGCAAGAAACTCCATAGGTTACTCTTTTTCAATCATGTTCACAATACAATTTTTGGTTACATTCTTCCGTTGAGTTCAATAATGTGAGAACAATGTAATACCAATATTTGGTCAAGGAGACGGAAAAAGAAAATAACCTTGAGGACAACAAATTTAATACAGTCTGGAGCTGACCAGTCCCATTTGACAGCGCCCGTTCACGAACATGACACGTACACCAGCACCGCCCAACTCGACCATGTTATAGGGAATCGAGCGATCCACTGCCCGTGCCACTGCCAATGAGACTTTTGAGTGAGCATGACAACTCCAGGCTGACACACATGCATTCTACTAGTCTAATTTAATTTAGGTAGTTACAGGGCTCTCACATTTACAATAGTTACCTATATAAAGTTTTACAGTGTGTACATTTGAACAAAATGGCTGTATTTGACATGATTGGAACTCATTGGAACATCAATGTTTTTCGCTATCCTGTGGAGCCGGACCAGCATGCCTCCAAGCATTTTTATCCTCTATGTAATCATTAAGTTTGTAGTATGCTTTTCCGCATAACGTTTTTTTAATATATAATTTAAATTTTGACTCATTTAAATGTTGTATTTCCTCCGGAATTTTATTATAGCATTTAACACAGAATCCCATAAAGGACTTTTGTACTTTTGTCAATCTAAATAGTGGCTGACTTAGTCTATCCCTATGTCTAGTTTGATAGTGGTGTCTGTCAGACACTTTACCAAACAACTGTAGGTTCTTCCTAACATACATAATGTTTTCATAAATAAATTGACATGGAACGGTCATAATGTTGATCTCCTTAAACTTTTCTCTGAGAGATTCGCGACGACCCAGGTTGTAGATAGCTCTGACGGCGCGCTTTTGTAAGATAAAGATAGACTCAGTGTCCGCAGCGTGTCCCCACAGCAAAATGCCATACGACATGATGCTATGGAAGTAACTGAAGTACACTAGTCTTGCCGTGTCTATGTCGGTTAACTGTCGGATCTTCCAGACAGCATAAGCTGCAGAGCTTAATCGTCCCGCTAGAGATGTAATATGAGGACCCCATTGCAATTTGTCATCTACAGTAATTCCCAGAAATGTAGTCTCTTTTACAAATTCTAATTTCCGACTGTTTAATAATATGTCACATTCCTTACTTCCAACATTTGGCAGAACAAATCTAATACATTTCGTTTTCTTATCGTTTAGCACTAAGTTATTTATTGTAAACCAATGTTGAACCTTCATCAGAGCATTATTTACGTCGTCATAATTATTTGTTCGTCTATTTATTTTAAAAACCAATGATGTGTCATCAGCAAACAATACAATATGTGGTTC